GGGATAGGAGGCTCCTCTGCCCAGGAGTTTTCTTTATTTTGCGAGGCCACTTCTGCATTTTTGAAGCTCCGTAGCTCGTCAGAGGCTGCTGATGAGATCTGTTAATGATACAGTTGTAGATGAATTGTTGATATCAAACATAACTAACCTGCACATTATTTGACATTTGATGCATTTTAAATTCACTACTCATGGCTTGAGCTTGTTCCAAAGATGTAAAACATGTATAACTTATGTTTGCTCATTGGTTTAAACATCTGTTACTACTCTCTCACATCACTCAAGTGGGCTGATTACCAGGATCAACGATTTGGCAGTGACTCTGTCTCAGAAACTCAATCCTTATTTACTGTGAACTCTAGCATCCTGTAACTCTTCTTGGCATGTAAGGTAAGAGGCTAAGAGTTGGACTTGAGAATGACCACAAGGATTTTGCAATCAAGAAGATGTATGAGGATTGCAATCGCCACCCAGGAATCTTGTTACTCTTGGTAATATGTACTGCATGGTGGTTATAAAAGATGAGAGCAAGCTGGGCTCTCAGATCTGGCTCCATTTTAAAATTGCTATTAAATCTGAATACTCCATCCAAAATGAAAAGGAAATGGGACTGGAAAGAACTATTTGCAAGTAAATAGGAAAAGCCAACCTGACTGCTTTTTCCAAGAAAGGTTTTCTGTGAAATTCCTGAACCTAACATTTCTGCCTGAATTATATGTGGGGAAGCTCACTCCCTTGCAAGCAAGAACGGAGGAAAGGGAATTTTTAAGCAAAGCTGGCTTGTGCTTTATCTTCAACTCTCTCCACATATATTTTTGTCTTTTACAGTATAATTATTCATAATAATTGAGGTTAGCTCGAAAGCCTATATTTAGCATTTATCATGGTGTTACGTATCTTCAAAGCATTCGGCATCTATCAACAAATGCATTCTCATGTATGACCAAGAAAGTAAATATCATCATCATCCCAACTTCACTGACAGCAAAACAGAGGCAGAGGAACACAAAATTAACTGGAGCCTCTCAAGGGAAGCAGTTTTAAAACAAGAAATAGAACTCAGGAGCTCCTGTATCCCATTCCTGTGCTCTGACCACTGGGAAACACATATATATTACGCTGATTAGCAAGGGTCCCATGCCCAGCAGCTTGGCAGGGTTATGTAGCTGAGAGATGTAGTTAGCCATGTTAGTCTGAAAACAAGGCAGAATGCAAGGTAGGCTTGCACCTTATAGAATAACCAAATCGAAGAGGTATAGCAGAGGGCTTACTACATAGCAGAGGGCTATATATTAATGTTTATAACTATTTATAAGTCCCTTATTAAAACTTACATTTTACCTCTCTGATTTAGTCTATAAGGTTAGACTGCCTTCTGTCTATGCAAAAGCTGTCTTTACAATGGGATGGCTGCACTCCTGGCTGTTTTTTCACTGCCCCGGCGTCAGTCTGAAAGGAAGCTAACTGCTCTACCAGCTGTGAGGTCTATGTGGCATTCATAGCTGCTTTAAGGGAAGGGAAAACTAGAGTAATATAAAGAACATGAGGAATGCTGACTGGTGAGCATTCAGTGATTTGCTACTGTTACAGATACTTGGTAATGCCTTAAGTCACTGCGCAAAGGAAAGGGAAACCTCCTAATCAAATACACTTCTTTGGTGGGCTAGTGAGCTTGACGGAAGCGCAGGCTGGAACAATTCAGGCCCTGGTTATTGACTATTATAAATACTTTAATGATCAGATAGGAAGTGTCATTTTTTAAATCTAATGAAAACTAATGTCTGCAAATATGCAGTGTGCCATATGAAGCCATGATTTCCCAAAATGTTTGACTATAGCCACAAGTGCACAATTCCAGTGGTCAGTCAGATTCTACAGCTGAGGTCATAACTTTGTCCCAGAAAACATTAAAATCCTGTACTGTGTAATCCTGTTTTTTCTAAAACCCTCCCTTTGCAGTACAACTTATGCTGGATGTTTTCCGGATTGCTGTTTACCTAATACACTCTCAGTGGGAGCCATCTATAAGTGGAGCACGATCCTCTTTACTTCTTACCTTTTTCAGCCCTGAGGTGCCACTGTGACCTCTAATTGCTGCAAGCAGGGCTGACCGCTCATTTTCTGGCTCAGTATGTGAGGGCTTCTGCTGATTTCCATTTGTCATGCTGTCTGAAATCTAGAACAGGATCACAATAGACATCATCAGTTTAGAACTAGAGATTTTCTTAAAGACAGTTTGGGAAATATTATTAAAAGGTGCTTGGAACATATTTTTATATGGTGAGCTGCATGGGTAGGCACCATGTCTCCTTTTGGACCTGCTGCTGCAGCAGCAATCCTTGCTGACACTGAAGTGTATTGGCCAGGTCTACATGAGAATGCATTACTACTGTGCAGTAGCTTGTTACTACTGCATAGTCAGTGTCACCAGGAAGCCATGCAGGGATACTATGGCACAGTAATGCCAGATACTGCGCAGTCATTTAGTACTTGAGTATGCAAGTACTAAATGACTGCGCAGTAACAACTGCACAGTCTGTGTCTCATGTAGATGCAGCCATAGATTCATAAAAGTGAGCTCACTGAGCTGTATTTTGCACAGGATTGCAAGTCCTTTGTGTACTGCATTGAACAAAGCTCACTTTTAGTGCCTAAGTAATAACTTTGGATAATCAAAAACAACTTATCTGTCATTTGCATGTATTTATGTATCATCTTCATGCTATTTTTATCCAACCTTCAGAAACACAGGTTAGGTTTTCAGGCTAACTAACCTCAAATACTTCTTTTCCCTTTATACTGTACGCTTATTCTCCTCTGCAGCAGCTAAAAGGTTGCATAACACTACACTACGTGCAGTACAGCCAGTGGCCTGGTTCCACATTTTGACCTCATGCATTTTTAAAACAATGTGCAGTCCAGCCCATCACCAGTTATAAAGCAGCAAGTGGCTGACTAGTGTAAATACAGGATTCTCCAAGCTGGAATGTCCCTTTACCTTTCGCAGCCTTTGTTTTCCTCCTCCGGTCTGAATAGCCTCCATTAGTGCAGTGTGCAGAGATGTGTCTTTTAGAACTGGTTTCTGAACAACTGGTTTGAACTTCTTCTTTGGCCCAAAGATATTGGTTTGTACAGTGATATCAGACTCATTGACATTACCCAGTAATATACCATTGGGTTTCTCTTCTCTTTCTAAATCACTATTGTTGTTAACAGATGCAGTGTTTAACTCAGATGAGACTTTTAAAGAGTTTCCAGGAGGCCTGTCCACAACCTGCCATTCTGTGGCACTCAGAGATGAACCAGAAGAGAAGCTGGGTTCATGGAGACCAGGTGATCTGAGGTGTGAGGAAAAATTAGTTTGGTCCCTATGCTCAGATTTCTGATCAAATACAGGCTTTGTCTTTTGTTTGCTGTTAAGCCTGTGATCATCTTGTGCAAAACTGTTACCCATCACTGAGGTTTTAGTAAGTGGTACACTGACACTCTTTTTATAGAAGCCAACAGGAGTTGCTTGATTCAGTGCCCTGACATTTATAGCTTTGTTTTCTTCTCCAAAATTATCACCAAGTGTAAACCTGTTGGATGCGTTGTGATTGCAACTAAAAATATTTGAATGATCTTTGCTTGTTTCTATTGATTGTGTTTCTTCCAACAGGCTGTTTTTGGCCACAATAATGTTTTTTTGGGGGGAATGTTCTGCTTCAATTTTCATTCCTCTCTCTTCATGGTTATTTTTTTCTTTGTCATGACTGAGTGTAGGGTCAGCCTTAAATGCAGGTGAAGTAATATACTTTGAAATGGCAGAGGCAACATATTGGCTTGAAGTTCTTCTATAAGGCTTTAGAAATGAGAACTCTGTCTTGTTCCTGTTCAGTATTGGAGCTATGGATGGTTTTACCTGAGACTGTGTGGTTGCATTAGGCTGTTTGACTTTTTCAGTTTCAAAACACCTTTCAGTCACCCTGGATGCAAATGTTTGTGGTGGTATTGGTTTTGCATCTGTGGGAGAGAGAGGTGTGCTTTCAGGTTTCAAAGTAAAAGGTTTAGAGTTTGTGGTAGCTACTGTCTTTTTAGAATTATGTTCTATGCATTCATCATGTTGCTTTTCCATAGAGTTTGACCTCCAGAATGCTCTTATTCTCTCAATGAAAGGTTCCTCCATTTCACTGGTAGAAGCATCTGGTATGTTCTTACCACCACCAGCATTTGGACTTACAAGATTGCCTAGCTCATCTATCTTAATGGCACCAGTGGAGAGAGATGTACCTCTATCAAAATGTTTTATTTCAGGTTTGGGAGGGACAATTTTAAAGGTTGTCAGACCTACTCTGGGTTCATAGCTTGTTACTGTATATGTACTATGAGCACGCTGACACCACATGGGTGCTGACTGAGTATCTTCTTTCTCTTCTGCGTTTTTTGCTGAAGTTTGCCTGAATTTCAATTCTGTTTTTATTTTGTTTTGAGATCTTTCTAGATTATTTTTTTCATTAAACACATTGCTTTTCTCTTTCTCTGCACTGCTTTCAGTCACAGGCTTGAGGTCAGAAGAAATCAACTTAGGTCTACATTCCTTGGACCTAACATCATTTTTATAGATCCTTTCTAGCCCCAGATATTTCTCATTTTTCTTGTCAAGTGAGACAACATGAGACTCAGACATATCTCTCCTTTGTCCTATAGGCAGAGATTTGAAATCAAATTCAGATGACTTCTGATGTATTAAATCTTTTGAAATATGTAGAGATCTGCTGTCCACATGGTCCTTATCAAAAGAACCTGCATTGTTATTTTTATTAGTAAAGTTTCCTACATTAATTGAGCCAACTGAGAAATCTTCTATGCCATCTGCATTAGGGAGTAGAGCATTTTCTTTGTTCCGAGGTGCTGGGAAGTCATTAACTCTTGGAATCTCATCTATGACTGTTACTGGAACAGAACAGGCAAGCACTTGAGCGGTGTTGACGTTGCTTGTATGTGGGCTTAACACCTCATTTAAGTGATTGAATACAGAATCACTATCTGTGTCATAAGGTCCAGCTTCCAGTACTGCAAAATATATAAACAAAAACATTCATTTATTGGTACTATACATTTAGTTTTTGGGTATGACCATAAACTGCATCCAACTGGAGGGCCTGGTGGCAATGTGGTGGGGCTACTTGTGGTGTGGTAGCTCTTACCACAATGTTACAACCCCCCGAGTAAGGCATCTATATGGTGCCCCAAAACCTCAGTGTCATGTGGTTACATCTTGGTTGGAGAAAGGCTAAGGGACATCACCCTGATGGAAATGCATCCTTGCTGAGGTGTAAGGCAGTCATAGCACCTCTAATCTGTTATTGTCTGGCAGAAGCTACAATCACTGACACACTGAACATCTGGACTCTGCTTGGCCTTTGGACTCTGTCTCGATGGTCTAAACTTTAGACTCTAAAGGGGGCATGGTAGGCCTAGGGCAGCCTCCATTCCAGCATACTCTTGCCTAGGCATATTCCCTGAAGGTCTTGGTGTGATGGTTGCATAGACCTCTTGCACATACACCATGATCCAGAGGATGGATGGTTGCCAAGAAGAACATGCAACATCACTTTCAATCACTCAGAGATGGTTTATATTCTCTTAAGAACAAGCAGGTGTTTGGTTATATTAATTACAACATACATGTTCCTAAGAATCTTAGTAAACTTATAAGCTTACAAGCTCCTGTTGTGTGAGAGAGAGCTTTCTGGATACATTTTACTGTTTGGTTGCTGATTATGATCATCAAATACATGTGTTCATTCATTGCAGTTAGTGGGAAATACACATGTGCAGTTGAGAGCAGCATTTAGACTTCTGTTCATACTTTATCTTTGACTAATTTCACTTCATCACCATATTACTGTAAAGGAAAAGCATTTCTGGGAACCAGCAAGTAACTCCAGATTATGATTCCCAAACCTGGTTAGTAATTATCACACATCTGAAGGATTTCCTCAAGCTAGCAAGCAAAGAAACAGAACTTGTATTTCTTCTTTTACCAGGCTTCCTTTATCATTCAGGAATCATTCAGCTGCATTGTGCAAGAAGCTGTTGGATGCAATTCTTTTTTCAATTACTTTAATATATATCAAGAGTTATTCCACAGCAGCTAATGGAATCACAGGAGTACAAAACTTTCAGAAATGAGATAGGTTCACTAAATTCTAAGGTAATGCAAAATTATGAGTGGTTTATAAAAAGGTTTTTGTTTTATAAAAATGTGCATTATTTTGCTTTACTACAGAAGACTGTTTCTGATGTGATGACATTTTCTCTCTTTTTTTTTTACCTTTACTTGTCAGGATGTTAGATGTTTAACTTCAAACCAAGCGTTGGATTCAGTTGAAATACTTTTTTATATAAAAGTCTGCCATCCCTCACTCCATTCTTATGAACTACAAAATAGCAGCTTATGTTATGCAGAATGATGGATTCTGCTTCAAAGCTACAGTTATGGCCTATTGGTCAGGCTTAGGGTCAAATTCACTACTTACATAACTTCGCTGAAGCCAGTAAAATTATTACATAAAAAAAATTGGCCCATTAAATATTGCTGATTCCTTTCTAGTAACAGGTGCTCAGATATAGGGATGATATTTATAAAAGTATTTGCAAAAATATATAACTGTAGCCTAATATATTTGTTTGCCCCATCAGGAAAACAAAACAGCATCAATTTATAGAGCACAGGCCAGTTTCTGACCTTGGATCTGTATGTACCTTCCATGAACTCAGTTAGAACATTGCAATATGTTTGAGGGTTAAATCTGACTTTGTGTCCCTTTGCTATTCCTTTTCCAGTTCAGAGATAATATTGTTTCATACCCCCTAAATCGTCATCCAGTTCAACCAGAGTCTGTTGGAGTTGTGCAGCAATGTCATCCTCATTGGCATTCTTAGAGGCAGCCATTTCTTCTCTACTGAAAGAGAATAAAATGTTATTTTCCTTGTTGCCTAAAATCTGCTCTCATTTCAACATCTTTTGCTCTATTTCAGATGCACAGCACATACCCCAAAGAACAAAAACCTTGATGCTCTAGAGACTTGTGTCCAGATACCTCCAAGGCTCTTATTAAAAGCAGCTTTGCACTGTGGGATTTGTGTAGTTCCTGAGTGTGATCAGTGTGCTGTTGATCACAAGATTAATCTTAATAAAGTTTGTCACAATGAAGCAGCATGTTGTTTCTGCAAAGTCCACATTTGAGTAGCAGAGATCAAAGGACAGCGTGCAAGTAAGAAAGCCTTTTGCATTTCCATGTTGCTTTAAAATTGACCAACACATGTACTATCCACACTATAAGTAAATCCGAATTGAAAAGTTCTGTTAAACTTCTACTCTTTATTCTGAGGTGGGAGGAAGGAACATTTTTTTGTGGAGATGTCCCTGATTATATATACTGTGGGCCTAATAAACAAAAAACATTTAGTAAAAGTATACAATGGCTTATAATCCTTTCAAATTCCAAATATTTCTCCAATTTCTCCTTTCACCTTCAGCCTTTATTTTCCCTCCTCATGCCTCATGTGGAGCTGTAACACTACAGCCTGGAACATCCCAGTTAGGTCTTGTCCCTGTGACTAGACTAGAAATCATAATAATTTTCTACTATCACTTTCTTCTTCAAACCTTTTCATTGGTTTCTCCTTGCCTGCTACAAATGTTAGGCTTCTTATTTCTGACCAAAAAGCTGTACAATTCAGCTCTCACCCATATCTACCATGTTCCTTCTTACTCCCTTCCCTGCTTTTCCCCTTCCTATGCTTTTCTCCAGTCTCTTTGCATTGTGTTAGGGGTAGGGTGACCATATTTCTCTAAGTGTCAAAATGTGACCCTCCGCCGCCTCCTCCCTCCCTCCACAATATCTGCATGTTCAGCCATCTCCAAGCTTTGGTATATAAATAATATATACTGAACACACTGGAGACCAGGCAGGTTGGGGTGTGGAACAATGAATAGTGGAGGGGGGAGGAAGATGAAAAAGTCCCATTTTTACTGGGATAGTCCTGTTTTAAATATGTGTCTTGGGCATCCTGCTAAAAACAGGACAAAAGCAATAATTTGACCAAACCGATTGGATAACTGTGACACTGTCCAGGTAAAACAGGGCATGTAGTCATCCGAGACAGAAGCACTCCTCTGGCTTCTTTGCATTGTCTTCCATGTCTAGCCTCTCTGCTCGCAATGTTCCCTCTATTTTTTTTACCCTTCATGGTACCCTGCTTTCTCATTCAGATGCCTCCTTAAAAACACACTTCCTTCTGGGAGACCTTTCAATATTTAACCTACTTGGTTCAGCAAATTAAAAAAAAATGGCACTGTTTTGTGTACGATCTGTCAGAGCATCTCACAGATCTCAGTGGTTCAGACTGTGAGGGCCAAATCCGGACTGGTGGTGCCAAGTTCCAGGAGTCTTTCAATCCAACTGGACTCAACAAGTATCATCAAAATTTGCATGTCCATTTTGGGTTTTTTTCTCCTGTTTTGAGGACTGATTATAATGACTTTCCCCATTTTCGTTTTTAGGCTATTTTGTTGTTGTGTACTTTTCTCCTCCTGATAGCTGTATTAATGGAATAGAAATGTCATGTCTGCAGAATCAATATTTCTGTGTTAAAGTGCATCTCTGTTTTCTGTAAGCATTCCTGCAGATATCCACCCTGCCTCCTGTTGTTGATCTTTACTTATGCATACAGATAAATTCCTAGAAGCCTGCACCTTCTTTTACTTGCACTGAAGTAAATTGGCAGTAACTCCCCTGAACACTGGATCAGAAGCTGGTATAAAATAAATCAATTATTTAGTAAATAGCCCTGCCAAATATTTTTTCAGATGTTTACTATTACAGAAAGCCTCAGCTCAACAAAATATTTAACTATGGGTTGAAGGATGGACTTCAGTACAACACTTAATGCCCTACATAAACTTTAAGCAGGCCAAAGATTCCCTTGAGATCAATGGACTCAAGCACGTACTTAAGTGCTTTGGTGAATAATGACAGACCAATGAATTGAGGCTGTGTTAAGATGGAGCTTTTGCAAACTGGAGGTCAAAGGCAGTAACCAAAAAAAATGACTTCCTTAAAGAGCAATAGAACTGACAAACCAGGACAGTACATAAGAAAACCACAGCATATAGACTACAACTTGCTTCATCAACACTCTGAACATGATGTTGGGAGGTGCTGAGCATCAATGGAAGCCAATGGAAGCAACAGGTTGTCAGAACCTTTCAAGATCAGGCTCTTCCTGTGTTAATGCTCAGAGTCACACTGCAGTGCTTACTGAATTGTTTTGCTTATAGACTCGAGAAAAGGCAAGAGTGCAAGAAAAACAGGACTGTCTTCACTGATTTAGAGCCTAAAATACTGGATGGTCCAAGGAAGAAACCTGATTGTATGAGACTATCCTCCAAAGTGCCTAAGCATACAAAGTTGGGGAGGGCGGGGGTACTTACTGAGCAAAGTTTTAGATCTAAGGTCTGAGGCTGTAGATCTAAGGACTAAGCAAAGATTCCATCTACCAGGACTCTGTGAAGTTCTCAACTTTGGAAGGAATAAATATATCTTGCTAATTTCTGTGCATCTTCCCTGGGCAACATCCCTTGATGTTATTCTTTTCTTTTTAACAGTGGTAAGCTTTATAAAGCCAATATAAGAATGAATGCAAAGTGCATGCTTTGAAAGAGCCACTTTTGAGGCTAAAAGAATTCTTTTCAATGGGAATAATAACATTTCATTCCAAGTGTACATGAAGTCAACAATGCAAATAACAAACGTAAAATACAAATATTGTTTTCACATGCTGTCCTGTGCCATATTTTGGGCACTGTGTACAGCAGTGATCTCCAACCATTTTATGGTGAAGATCACTTTTTCTAAGTAAAGGGCACTCCAGGATCTACCACCCCTGCCCTGCCCCACCCCCTGCCTTGCCTACCTGCCCTCTTTCCTGTACCCCTACCCCCTGCCTCCCAGACAAGCCGCCCAGGCTCTGACCCCATTCACCCAGCCCAGCTCAGGTGGCAGGGAGTGTGGCTCAGTCCAGCCATGTGCTTTCTGCCGCTCACAATCGTGGAGCCTCTGACAGACTGCAATCGACTGTCAGAGGCTCCACAACTGACGAGTCAATTGAGATCAACTGGTTGGTGACTACTGGCGTATAGTGCAAGTGATACTAGTGGGAAATTAATATTGTGCTAAGACATCATATATAAAACTTTTGGGAGGAAGGTGCCTAACGCACTTGTGGTGCTCTGGCCGGGTGCTGGATGACTGGAAGAGGGCCAATGCGGTCCCCATCTTTCAAAAAGGGAAGAGGGAGGACCTAAGCAACTATAGGCCTGTTAGTCTTACTTCAACCAAGGGGAAACTCTTTGAGAAGATTATCGAGGAGCACTTCTGTGAAGGGCCAGCAGCAGGGATGATGCTCAAGGGCAACCAGCACAGTTTCATTAGGGGTAGGTCCTGTCAGACCAACCTGACTGCCTTCTATGATCAGGTCACAAAATCACTGGATGCAGGTATCGCCGTGAATGTAGTCTTTCTGGACTTCAGCAAGGCCTTTGACACTGTCTCCCACCCCATTCTCATTAAAAAGCTAGGTGACTATGGTATTGATGCCTACATAGTCAGATGGATTGCAAATTGGCTGAGGGGTCATACTCAGAGTGGTGGTGGACAGGTCCTTTTTGACCTGGAGGGAGGTGAGCAGTGGGGTCCCCCAGGGCTTGGTCCTGGGGCCTGCACTGTTCAATTTCTTTATTAGCAACTTGGATGACAGGGTAAACAGCACCCTGCTTAAATTTGCAGATGACACCAAGATTTGGGCTGAGGTGAGCATGCTAGAAGGGAAGGACAGATTACAGCAGGACCTGGACAGGTTACAGGGGTGGGCAAATGAAAATAGGATGGGATTCAATACTGACAAGTGCAGAGTACTGCACTTGGGCAGTAGGAACCAGCAGCATACCTATAGGCTGGGGAACTCCCTTCTCAAAAGCATGGTGGCAGAAAGAGATCTTGGAGTCATTACTGACTCCAAGATGAACATGGGCCAACAATGCGAGAACACGGTCAGTAGGGCTAACCGTACCTTGTC